CGGACAGCAGAATGAATTAAAAACCATAATTCTACAATATGTTGTTTAAAGGAAACACATGTGAAACAGAGGGATACACACTGAGTAATGGTAAAAGGCTGGAGTAGAATATATTATGCTTCAGCTGAAGTAAAAAAAGCAGGGGTAGCAATCCTGATCTCAGACAAAGCAAAAGCAAAAATAGATCTTATTAAAAGAGATAAGGAATGAAACTACATCCTCTTAAAAGGCACCATAGACAATGATGTAATATTATTACTAACCATATAAGCACCAAATGAAATCCCACTTTCTTCTAGAAAGGCCTAGTATCCTTTATGATTAGTGTCTTGCCTCTGTGATTATCTTGAATTTACACACAGACACACACACACACACAACACACACACTTTCTTTATACATATTTATTTGCATATTGTCTCCCCCATTAAATTGTGAGCTCCTTAATGGTAGAGATTGTTTCTACCTTTCTTTGGATTCTTAACACTTAGTACCGTGACTGGTAGAGAGTAGACTCATGATAAGGGCTTGGTGACTTCTCTTGTACATGAGAAATCAAATATAAAAATCATTCCTCTTTTGATGTCAGACTCAACATATTATAGATGATTGCTTTAAGACTTCTCATAGATTCCTAAAGTCATTTCATTTGTGATCCTGGGCAGGTCACTTTACCCTTTTGATCTTAGTTTCCTCATCTACAAAATTAGCTGGAGAAGGAAGTGGCAAACTACCCCAGTATCTTTGCCAAGAAATTCCCAAATGGGGTCATGAAGAGTTGGACACAACTGAAAATGACTAAACAAAAAGGCACAAACAGGATTTTCTATTTGATCCTGAAGGCAATAGGGAACCACTGGCATTTATTAACTAGGAGGGTGGGATAACATGATCAGACCTAAATTTTAAGATCATTTTGTTACATGAAGGGATGATGGACTATAGTGAGGAGAGATGAGACAAGGATACTAATTTCAATAATCGGGACATGGAGTTATGAAGACCTGGCTCCTGATAGTGGCAGTGTCAGACAAAAGAAGGGGGATTATATGAAAGATGTTATGAAGATAGAATTGACAGGACTTAGAGGCATATTGGATATAAAGGAGGAGATAGAGTGAGGAGCCAAGGATGATACCTAAGTTGAGAACCTGGATGACTGGGAGAGTCACCTTTTAGGTTATAGGCAAGTTCAGAACTGGAAAGCATTTTGGAAGAAAAATGAGTTCCTAGAGAATATATCAGACTATTTCTACAAAATGTACCATTTTATTGCTTACACCCAGAAGATTCACTCAGTTATTCACACTTTATATCTCAACAAGGCAGAATTCTTTTAAATTCCAATTATGGCAGTAATGACTAGTCCTTGCACAAATAGGAGTGATAGAAGAAAATGAAGTATGGGAAACTTGAAGCTGCAAAGAGAATTATATTTATATTATAATATGCTGAAAGGGAGGGGTGCTCTGGAGGACCACACATGGTAGTTGGTCAAAAATAGTTATGCAAAGGGCAGCTAGGTGGTATAGTGAATGGAGCACCAGTTCTGGAGTTAGGAGGACCTGATTTCAAATCCAACCTCAAACACTTACTGGCTGTGTGACCCTGGAGAAGTCACAACCCCAATTGCCTCTCCTTCTTCACAAAAAAGAAAAAGAACAAAACCAAAAATATTTATGCAGAGAAGTTGTAGGAGGTAGATACCATCAGCATCATGGCCAGTGCACTGATAAAGTTTCCAACTTGGTTTATTGTGGAGCCAATTATATCTGTTCTCTATTGGTCTGGCATTTTGAGCATGAGAAAACTACATGTATAAAAACTGCTTCAGAAAGAAGAAATGATGTCTGTTGCTCATTGTAGTCTCATTGCAACTATGGAGTCTTTTGGTAGATTTCAGCTGTTTGTGGAAAGAGTTGAAATCTGGGTTATGCCTTTAAATTCTATATGAATGTGGGTAAGTCACTTAACAATATTTGGCCTCAATTTCCTCATCTCTGTTGTAAAGGGTTGGACCAGAGGGCCCATGGTTCCTTCCGACTCTAAATTTGGTGTTTATACTCCAGGCCTTGAGAAGACACTGGCTGTATTTTTTATGGCCCCATCTAGATTGCCCTGATATGGATGTGTCTCTCTGAGTATGGTGGGGAGGCAGGTGGGGAGGCAGCCAGAGAAACTTTATTTCATATATATTTCCTCTTTGAATTGAGAATCTTTTGTTCAGTGGCTATGCTTGATTCTTTGTTGGCTGTGAGTTAGGCAAACCTATAATGAATGGTATGACCTTCATAAAAGCCCACGCTCCATCACTTATATTGTTATTTTCTGAAGTTCTTCTCTGTTAAGCTCAATGTACATTTGAGAGCTCCAAATGCAAGAGGTGGTTTGGTATCATTACCATTATTATATTGAATTGCAAACACTTGTACTCTTAACTCCTGATTCTAGCCAAAGTTCATCTAAGAGATTTTGATAATGAAAACTTTTTCTTCTCCATATGAAATTTTGAAACATAGGACTAAAGAAACATAGCAAGAATTTACTAAACATTCAAAACATTGTTTTCCTAGCAGACCTTTTATTTGTAAAATACACACAAAGAATTATTTCAGACTTTTCACCCGAGGTCTGCTAAACACAGACCTGCAAATGATAGTCACTTTGATTGGTCAAGCCTTTACAGATTCTTCCCATGTTGGTCTATTATATAACTACTTTAAACTGCTTTGAAAAAGAATAGCAGAATATATTTTTCCCTTGGATTTGTAATGACAGGTTTCTCTTTTCAATTTAAATTATTTCACTCCCAATGAGAGTCATCCTATTTACAAAGGCAATTTCATTCTTCTTGGATTTAAGACAAACAACAACAACATTTTATGGTATGATAACCTCCAAACTTCCGGTTGGGTAGCTTTATTACAATGTCTATATTTATGGGAACATATGCAACAGGGCATTTATCAAAATACAAACAAGCCAAACTACAAATGCTTAATGCCAGGTCTCCAGAGATGCATTTCTCTTGGTAAATTGAGGTAAATTCACTGTAATATTTTACTGGAAAATTATCAAACATATAAAGCCATTCATCTAATTAACCTAAGACTATGTATTGCAGTAAAAGTCTATAAATTTTTGTGAAGGTCACATGTATAAATATATTTTGTATAAACACATTTGTCTTGCATACATTAGATATTTGGGGATTCTACCTGATAAGAATTTAATATGTAACACTGGGCCCCTGAAAAGTCTCGTTCTGGGGCTATTTAAGATTTTTCCAGGGGTTCAATGCATGCTTTTTCAGGTGACCAAAAATTCTGATCCTTTACCAATTTACAGTGAATCAGTGAATTCAAGAGTTGGAAGTGACATCAGCAGTCATTTAGCCCAGATCATACATCAAAGTGATACCCACTACAACATATCCACCAAGTTGTTATGTAGCTTCCACCTGAAGATCTCTAAAGATGTCAGTCATAATACATCATAACATAGCATAGAATAGCACAGCACAGAATAACATGGCATAAAATAGCATAGCAATCATCTTCTTGTCTCTAGGCTCTTTTCAGTTCCTTCAACTAATCCTCAGAAGATATGCAATCAAGGCTCTTCACTATCCTGGTTGTCCTCATATGGTTATTTTCCAGTTTATCAATGATCTTCCTACACTGAACTGCCCAGAAGTAAATATAATACTCCAAAAGAGTTCTGACGAGGTCAGAGTATAGGGGGACTGTCAATTCCAACCCTTCTTCCTGGAAACTATGTACCTCGTAATATAACCTAAGCTCCCATTAGCATTCTTGGCTGCTGCATTGCACTGATGATTTATATTGAACTTCTGGTTCACTTAAGCACACAGATCATTTTTAGGACAACTACTATCAATCATGCCTCCTTGTCTGATTCTTTTGAAGTTTATTTTTGGTATGAAAGAGTAATACTTTACATTTATCACTACTGAATTACATAAAATTAGATGCTTTAAGTTTTCAAGATCCTTGTGGAAACTGACTCTTTTACCCAGTGTATTTGCTATCTCTCTCAGATTTATATCATCTACAAATTTGATTAGCACGATCCCTATTCCTTTATCCAAGTAGCCAATAAAAATGTCAAGCTGCATAAGATCATAGATGTGTAGACTATCTAAAAGGATGCCTCCTGCTATATTGACAATGAACCATTAACAAACACAACACTTTGAGTTTGACCTTCTATTATTTATGAATCTATCTGATTCTATTATTATCTAATTCATATCTATAAATCTTTTCCACAAGAATAGTATGATTCACTTTTTCAACACTTCTACTTAAATCTAGTTAAACTATACTCACAATATTTCCCTTCATCTTCTATTTGAGAAATCCTCTCAAAAAAAAAGTGAGGTTACCTTGGCATGGTCCATTCTTGATAAAAGCATGGTTTTTCTCTTTTTTTCCCTTGATAGTTAATTTATTTACTTTCAGCTTTCAACATTCACTTTCATAAGATTTTGAGTTTTAAATTTTCTCCCCCTCCCACTCCTCTCCCCCTCACCCAAGATGGCATGCAATCTGATATAGGCTCTGCTTATACATTCATATTAAGCATATTTTCCCATTAGTCATGATGTAAAGAACAATAAGAACTAATGGGAGGAAACATGAAAATGAAGTAATACCACAAAACAACAACAAAAAAAAAAGGAGAGCAAATAGTATACTTCCATCTGCATTCAGACTCCATAGTTCTTCCTCTGCATGTGGACAGCAATTTCCATTGTGATTCTTTTGGAATTGGCAGAGATTCTTGCATTTCTGTGAAAAGCAAAGTCTATCAAAGTCTGTCATCTCACAGTGTGGCTGTTACTGTGTACAATGTTCTCCTGATTCTGCTCACTTCACTGAGCATCAGTCCATACAAATCTTTCCAGGTTTTTCTGAAATCCACCTAATCATCATTTGTTTTTTTCATTTACAATATTCATAGCCGTGCCCTTTTTTTTTTATATGGAATGCTTCACAAATTTGCATGTCATCCTTCCGCAGCAGCCATGCTAATCTTCTCTATATCATTCCAATTTTAGTATAAATGTTGCCAAAATGAGCACCTAATCATCATTTCTTATAGCACAATAATATTCCTTTAGATTCGTATAACCCAACTTCTTTAGCCATTCTCTACTTGATGGGCATGATTTCTCTTTTTAATGACGGATTGCCTATTTAAATGTTTGTCAACCAGTCAGTTGGGTAATCAGTCAACTAGCATTTATCAAACACTTACTATATACCAGGAAACATACTAAGAGCTGGTGATACAAAGAAAGGTTAAACACAATCTTTGCCCTCAAGGAGCACACTGTCCAATGAGGGAGACACATGGAAACAAGTACAAAAAGGTTAATTAGGGAGTTGTCTCAAAGGGAAGGCACTACACTTAAGGAGGATTGGAAAGACATCCTTTAGAAGGTGGAAATTGACACAAAACATGAAGGAAGCTGGGAAAGCCAGGAGGTGGAAAGGAAGAGGAAAAACATTACAAGTATGAAAATGTTCAGCATCAAGAAATGGAGTATCATGTGAAAAAATCAACAAGGTTTCACTTGATCACAAAATATGTGACTGGGGATTAAGGTGTAAAAAGACTGAAAATTAAGAAGGTTTCATGCTATGAAGGACTCTAAAAAGAAAATAGATGATTTTGTATTTCATCCTGGAAGTGATAGGGAACCACTGGAGATTATTGATCTGGGAGTGGGGCATGATATGTTCAAGCAAGCAATTAAGGAAGGTCAGTTTGTCAG